AGGCGGTCCATGTCTTACTATATAAACGAAAATGTATATTATAATGTCACATACTATATTTTATTTATATTGTATTTACCGTATGGTATTTTATAATGAAATTAGGCATATATATATGAAGTGAGTGTGTAAGTCTAATAGTTAGATCTGTCTACCACAAGACGCAATAACTGTTAAATTGATCATATCACAATTTGGATAATGTAATAACATTGCATTACGATTATGTTTGGTAATACTACCTGATAAACTAGTTTATAACTTATACGTGATTTTTGAGCTTATAGTTTATTGGTAAAACTAGTTGATTTTCGGGTTTATACGGACCTACCTAGTTAGATGATGGTAACTAAGGCTTCTGTCCAGCGAATCTAACAATTAGATAATTATATATTTTTAACAAATATTTATTTATTTATTGTAGAAATATCATACTTTCGATAAATAATTCATAGCATATTAATCAACTTATTTTGTTGCAAATATATAATGAGTTGATCTGTCTAACAACTATACCGTTTCACACATGAAGTGAACTCCAGATTGCTATAAATTATTGAAGGATATGTTATACATTGAACTACATTTAAATGAATCGATTAATCACACAAAATATTAAATAGAGTAGGGCTAAAACTATGTTTGGCACACCTAGCTGATAAACTAATTCAGGAATTTTAAACTTATAATAGATATTTTATAATTTATGTATAAGAAAATTAACTTATATAATAAGTGTGCTTGGTAAAATTAATTGATAAACTAATTGAAATAAATATTTCAACGGCCTTGTTTGAAAAGTTACTCAAACGAGATAAGTTAGAGCGTTTTATATAGAGGTTGGGAGTCCGACCTTAACTCTCATTCTTCTCGGGTGTTGTTTTATTTTTTATTTTTAAATAAAACTTACGAGATAAATTTGAACTTAAAGAAAACAAAAAAAAAAAACTCGTCTTACCAAATCAAACTTATAAAATAACCACGATATAAATTAGATCATTGTGCTTAACAAACAAACTTAATAAGGAATAAAAAATTGTAGAAATAAAAATGAAAAAAAAAAAAAAAATCATAATTTGATTTCGCATTTAACACTCATGATCCATGACGAAATTCTCTTCTCACTTCTCACCTGAAATTGAGCCTTTTAAATAAACAAATCAGTTCAAGAAAAAGGTCGCTTGAGCCAACGGCGGCGTTTCTCGGCCCACTCAAGGCCACCAATAAAAACATCATACGACCTTCCGGCCGCCGCCCACCTTGTTAGATCCTTAACAATCGCATTTGTCCTTGCCCAAACTGTACATAAACCACTCCAATAATCCCATTTCTTCTTCTTTACATCTCTCATTGACTATCGGAATCCAAAATCCGCTGCGTATGTGTGTGTGTGTGTTTCTGCGTATAGTTTGACGCGCATTAATGGATGATTTTGGAGGTGAGCTTCGGGTTTATTTGATTTTGTCTCTGGCATTGAGCGAACTTTCTGTGTTTTGGGTTTATATTGGACAACAACAACTTCGTGTGAAATTGCTTTGATCGAAGTTCGTGTTCGTTTTTGTATGATCTACTGTATATCGACAAATGCCCTTTTTTTTCTAAGCTTTTCTATGCAAGCAAAAATGGACTGATGGGGTGTCAAACATTTGATTAAAGGTACAATCTTTTTGAAGATTTTGGTGCTGTGCTGCCTGAAAGGGTGCCGTCTGGTTTTGCTAATTTCATTTCATGAGTAGTTATGTACGGTCCCATTACGGAACCATTCCGTCGGGTTTTGTAACCGTTAGATCAACTATCCCCAAAACGGTTACAAATCCAGACGGAAATGGTTCCGTAACGGGAATGTAGCATTTCCCGTTATGTTGATCGTCTGTTTTTTCTATTTTTGTTTTTTCTTTTTAAATAAGAAACTATTAGAGTGGTCTGATCTTTTCTGTTTCTCTCATTTGATTTGGACTTTTGACGTTGAGTGATCTTTTTTCTAGTTTTGGTTTCTGTTGGACAACAACTGCAGTGTGGAATTGGTTTGATCTGCTGTCTATTGATAAATGCCCCTTTTTTTAGCTTGAATATGCAAACGAAAATTGTTTTCTTTTTTTCATCTAATTATGAGCATATTCGTGATGGGTTCTCAAATATTCGATTAAAGGAACAATTTTCGAGAGATTTTGGTGTCTGAAGGGGTGCCGTGCCGCCTGGTTTTGCTAGTTTAATTTCATTAGTAGTTATGTTGATCACTGCATTTTACCATTTTCGAAGTTCGTGTACTGTCTTTGTTATGATCTACCATATATTGATAAATGCCCTTTTTAGTTAAAGCTCAACTAGGCGAACAAAAATGGCCCGTCTTTTTTGGAATTACGAGTAACTGTGATCTTGCTAGTTTTGTTTAACGGGTAATTGTGTTGATTGTTGTATTCTATCTTTTTTAAAGAAGCCATTTGAGTAATCGTGATGGGGTGTCAAACATGTTTTATTTATTTATTTTAATTTGTTTGAGCTGATTCTATTTGAAGAGCTCTACTCAAATGTTCCAATATACGTGTCCGAAAGATTTAATCATTTCCTTTTGTTGCAGGAATATTCAGCACAAGCTGAGAAAGTACTTCACATTTTTAGTCTGTGAGAGCTCACTAGAAAAGATATAACAATGCACGAGCCCGAAGCAGAAGCCGAGCCCTGGAGTTTTCTCAACATCGACAATATTTTCAGTAACAACTATTATGGAGACAGCTCTCAACATGACGTGAAAATCTGCCATGAACAGTACATAACAGATTCTAATTACGACTACATTGAGAACGATGAGATTATTGCTCGTTCTCTTCTTCAAGAAGAATTGTCTCAGTTATCGATTTCAGAAGAATCTCCTAAGCTATCACATTCTGGGGAAGAATACCTGCAAAATTCCAATATCGTCCCAAATTGGCATAGTTCTTCAAATGACTATTATTTTGGTATGTTAGTTCCTCGTTTAGGTTCATAGTCCATATTATAATGAGTAATGAATCCTTATCGAAAATATTTGCAGATCAAGAGGGTGTTCAGAATGAGAGTGATGACGAGGCTAGTTTATGCTCGAGCCCAGAGGATAGATCGTGTGATGGAGAAAATTACTATTATAACCTCGACATAACAGATGGGTCTGAACTCGATGGAGAAGTTGAAAAGAGGTTGTATCAAATGATTCCTGTTCCTGTAAGCATCGGTTTTATTCGACAAACTCATAAAATTTTCTTGTCATCGTTTAATGGAGTTTATTAGCTTAGCATTATATTGTTGCTTTATTTTGATTTTTTCTTGGTTTATCGTTCTATTAATTATATATATATATATATATATATATAGAGAGAGAGAGAGAGAGAGAGAGAGAGAGATAAAATTTCTGCTCATGCTAAACATAATCGTGCAAATCTATACAATTTTCTTAGTCGTCTCATTATAAGGCAAATTATAAGATAATCTTGAATATGATTCGAGCAACTATATACTATTTAGATGAAACTCTCGGTTGTGAATCTGATTCGAGTAACTATATACTATTTAGATGAAACTCTCGATTGACATGATATACTTTTGTTTGCTCATTTTCACAGCATATTCCAAGAATTAATGGAGACATACCCTCGGTTGATGAAGCAACTTCTGACCATCAGAGGCTGCTCGATAGGTATTTTCTGTGGGTACATTTTGTTGCCTGTTCAGAATACCAAATTAAAAAAAGTTCCTCCAGATGGAGAAAGTATTTTATAAATTTAAGTTAGTCCGGTTCTGATTTTTCTCTTGGATCTGCAAATACCGAATAAAAATAAATCGAGCTGCTCAAGTTCAATTGCTACTCATTAGAAGTAACAGTTTATGTATCAAATACTCAATTATGTTATCCCTTTTAAACTTGCACCTTAATTTAGCTTCTTGCACTTGATTATGGAGTAAAAAGCTTTTCTTTCGAAATTTGTTTCAGGTTACAGTTATATGACTTGATAGAACACAAGGTTCAAGGAGATGGAAATTGTCAGGTTAGTTTGCCGAGTCTTTCGCCGTTTCAAGTCCATTACAATACTGTATTATTCTTCTTTGCCGTGGTTCTCATAGTAAATCGCTTGCAAAAAGTTCTATTGCAAATACAGCATCAGATTACCAGACAAGGAGATGAAAAATATATTTCTTGTTATAAGAAGGAAAGAAACAAAAAAATTATTTCAAGTCATAACTTAGCCCATTAAATATTTCTCATGTAACACTTACTAGTACGATATGCGTGTGCTACACGGGTATTTTACAAAATATTAAATGTACAATAAAAAATGAAAGAGAAAAATGTTTATATATTTTGTTGAAGTTAGAAAAATAAATAAAGAACAATATATAAAAATTTATAATAAAAAACTTAGTGAATTGACAATATTATATGAAATTCTGAAAACTAATTTATATTCATCATTTGTTTTTATTTTATAAAATTTTTGTTTAAACCACATAAGAGAATAATATGGACAAAACAAAAAATTTGGAAAGTGAGATAATATGCACATTGTAAAGAAGATAATAAATAGATTTATATAGAATAATTTAAATGTATTAAGTATGTGTATTTATGTCAATCCAAACCTAAGCTATTTGGTATAACAAAAAAGTAGTAATTTTTGTCCGAGCCAAATTACAAAGCGTAATATTCTGCCACATAAGATTGCGAAGCATGCGAAGCTGTCACGTTGGTTCTGCAATTATATATAAGGGGGATTTTTGAAATTCACTACAACTTTCTGCAGTTTCGTGCTTTATCTGACCAGTTTTATCGGACCCCCGAACACCACAAACTCGTGAGACAGCAAGTTGTTCGTCAGGTGTGTTTGTAGGAGGAAAGCTATATATGTGTATATATATATGTTTATTTATTTCAATGCTATCCTAGTATTTACTTGCGAAAATCTGACATTGTTGTTTTGTTTTTGTCAGCTGAAAGCTCATCCTGAAATATACGAGGGATATGTTCCAATGGAATATGCCGATTATCTCAAAAGGATGTCCAAGTACAGTTCTTTATCCCTATTTTTTGTGTCCCGCGCATTATTATTGTTCGACTTTCTATTTTTAGCAACTTGAACTCTTGTGATCCTTACATGGTTAGTAACCAGGAGTGAGGAGTGGGGTGATCATGTTACGCTGCAGGCAGCTGCCGACTCGGTATTGCTTACGTTACCTAAACCATTTTATTATGTTCGGAAATATATTTGCAAAGCCTAAATTGCATTTTTAATCCTCTTGGTTTAACGCCGTAGAAATTTTAGTCCCAAGATTCTAACATTTTGCCTTTTGGTCATGTGATTTAATATTTTGCTGCAATTTCAGTTATTTTGCAACAAATTCCCAGTTTATATCTTTGGGTTGGATTTTTTATTAGCAATTTAGGTCTTGTAATTTAAAACTTTATTGCAATTTCAGTCTTGTAAACTGGAATTTAAAATGTGTAATTTAAAATGTTGTTGCAATTTCAGTCAGCAAAATATTAATTACATTATAGGACCAAAAGACAAAAAGTTTGAACCTTAGGACTAAAATTATTATGGCGTTAAACCAACATCATTATAAATGCATTTTTGCCTATTTGCAAATTTTGGAATTAGAAACTAAGAAACGGCTTTATTTATTTATTTTTTATTTTTTTATATATAGTATGGCGCAAAGATTGTTATAGTAACCTCTTTTAAAGACACATGCTACATTGAGATTCTCCCAAAGGATCAACAGTCGAAAAGAGGTATGATTCGTAGATTGTTATGTCAAAATTTTGCCCATTTCCTTTCGCTTTCACAACACATACTTTTAATTCTACACGAATGAAATGCGAAGTCTTTCAATCATAGTGTGTTTGGTGGCAAACTGAATGCATTGTTTGCATTCAAAAATTCTATGGAGCCAACAACATTTGTAATGTATTGACACTTGTACTTTTTATAATAACACGTGTCGATACATCATTTGTGAGTAATTGTGGATGGCTGCACAGCAAAATTGTTTGTCACTACTATGAGATAAATAATCATCACAGTATAATAAGTCCATTTATTCTACACAACGCTCGTGTTATGAAGGATACACAAGCCATGCCACGAAAAACTTTCATGTGTGAATGATAACTACAATATATTGTGTTCTTTGTACCCGTTTTTCACTTTCAGCTTATGATAAGGTCCTCTTGTGCAGTCATATATTTGAGCTTTTGGGCCGAGGTGCACTACAACTCAATCTATCCTCAAGGAGGTAAATTGCTTCGAATCACTTCTTTTCGTTTCTGGATTTTACATACCATAAAATTAATTCTCGATTCAATTAGATCTCCCCCCGAGCGATCTCAAGAGAAAGAAAAAGTGGTGGAACTTTCGAAACAAACAATAGATGAAACCGTCAAGACCTGTCGTGTAATCATATGCGCTTCGAAGCCGGAGTTTTTGAAGAGAGCTATTTTGGTCTCCACATTGACCTCTCTCTATAGAACAATAAATAAAGTCTTAAGTCTTATATTATCAATTCATGTATCATTATACAGGTTATTACAATAATATTTATTCATTTATTATTATCTTAAAAAACTTGCCATTGAATAAAATAATGTTGCTTCGACGTTGTGGGGATTATAAAAATTGCACGTTAAAAAAGAATTATTGAAATTGTGATTAGAGGCCCTGCATTACTTTAGTTGCCAATAATGCACCCAATCGGACGAGAATTTTTTTCACATAAATTCTTAAAAAGACCCCAAATCTTTCTCAGTTCGACTTCTGCTACCATAATTACTTCTAAAATCTCAAAAAGGCCCCATCCGTCGGGCGGCGCACCTCCTCCTCCACCGCTAGCAACTGCAGCAGCAACGCGGTGAACGGCATGTGGCGGTACCCGTCTAGCAAGAATCCCAGCTCTGGCGGCGGCGACAGTTGTCGGAGGTCTAGCCAGCCTAGGCTTGATATCGGCGACGGGGGCAGGTGGCGGAGAGGAGATACTGTGGAGAACCATCTCTGAAGGGTTAAGATATGTTTGGTTCAACGGAGAGAAAGGTAAGGGAGAGATTTTAATAGAGGGGAGAGAAAGGAAGTGGATGTGAAGTAAAATAATTTTAATTTTACCTTGTTTGTAAGGATTTTGTTAGAGTGGATGAAGAAAGGTAAACCTTGTTTGGTAAGACAATGAAAGAGAATGTAAAATAATATTAGAATGACAAATATACCCTTAATGAAATAAAAACTAAAATATTATATATAATAAATTCGATATTGTATTTGTAAGTATTAAAATTTCTCATCCCCTCCAAATTCCTCCAGTTTTTGGAGGTGAGCAAAAATAGGGAGGGGAAGGGATTTTTTTTTTATAATATTTGAATAGGTTAATTTTCAATATCCGTAATTATAAACAGAAACTCTAAATGACAATTATTTTATCACGAGTAAAATAATTATATAACTTATATATTAAATTATTATATAACATAAAATACAAGAAAAAAAATAATATCAATATTCAAATATGTTTTTATACTAATCAATATCGTTTCGTTACTTTAATACATACAATTTTTAATTATTGCCCCGTGCATCGTACGACTACATACTAGTTATTTGTTAATGATAACTCTAATTTATTTAATCTACTTAAGTATTGTTTTAAATAAAAAATAAAACGTAATTAAATGGCACTGACGAGGTAAAGGTTGTATCATCATAATAGTTTGGTGGAGAGTGGTTAGCTCAGTTCAGGTTGGTTCAGGTGTGCTCAGCTTAATTTTGGTTTACACGTGGTAAGGAGATCGCTCAGACACCTCGAGATGCAGGTAGAGTCGGATCAGGTAGCTCGTAGTTCGGAGAGGAGCTCGGATATTCGATGAGACCTCGTGGTCTTTAGGTCGTGGTTGCGACCTAGGTATAGCCCGCGGTAGGAAGGTACGGAGGTCGTGGTTACTATCTGAGAACCAAAGAGACGTGCCGTGTCAGGGGAGAGAATTCTTCATGGATAGAAAGTGTGTATTATCTAGAAGTCCTTAAAATCATAGAGGCGTGGTAGTTCAGGAAAGTAGATTCGGGAAGATTTATTTTCCTAACCAGGATTCTCTTGGATACCAAGTCACCCTATGTATTCAAGGGTAACCAGGTTACTCTATCTTACAAATTACATACTTACATACTTTACAATTTTTCATATTCCCTCAAGCATATCCTAACTTGAGTGTCATAGTGTTTACGCCTAGAACCATCTCGACACTTTGCAGGTCACCGGAACTTCGAGCTGGTATGCGTGCGTGGAGGTTGCGTGTTTAACTCGGTTCCAAAATTAGTGCGTATTAGTGTCACAAATAATGCAAACTTTTTTTTATATTGGACTATGTCACGCCGCCAATATAAAAATTAAAAAAGATTATTATAATATGAGCATCAACGATGTTTCCATTTAAAAATTACGAAGAAATTGCTCCTATTTGGATGTTCGTGTGTGTTTGATTATTAAGCTTTGTGCCTTTATTGGATTGTTATTGAATATGTATGGTTTGTTTACCTTGTTCCAAGGGTCGAAGTAGATGATCAGCCGGTTGGGCTTATTAGAGCTTCTAAGCTCGATGGTAGTTGTGCCATGCACAATGAGAATGCGATGAAGTGGATGCTAAGTCGGTTGGACTTATTCAGCTCACAAGTTAGGTAATTGTTGTTCCGGTGTATTATGAGAATGGGTTGAAGTGAATGATGAGTCGGTTGGGCTTATTAAGACCGTGAGCCCGGTGCAGATGTTCCGCTGTATGTTTCTCTCACAAGTGGAGTCGATCAGTCGAATTTTATGATCGTGAAAAATGTAGGAGCATAATTTGGCATAGGAAAATAGGGTTTTCCCTGATTCTAATTGGTCGAGAGCCTTGAAGTCCTAGTCCAGTGGAGCTCCATTGTCATCTAAGGTGTTGAATCCGAGTTTGGAATTTACCTTAACGGGCGATTTAGAATACCTTGAACTGTCCAAATCAACAACATGCAAGAAGCGCGTGCCAGGGAGGGGTTCCCCACATAAACACTACGACGCTCAAAGTTAATACGTTTCATAAAGGTGTATGAAAGAATGAGTATTAGATATTACCAGTTGCCGTGATGGCGTGATTATGTATTTATAAGGACTCATTACCTTGTTCTCCAAGTCATTTGGATATCAAAACGTCTATATTTAGGCAAGATTTCCTTAAGATTATCCATATCCGCATTCCTCATATGTGAAGTCTCATTTCCTTCTTATATCATTTTCCTTGTTTGTCTAATTACACCATAGAGTAACAACTTGCTAACTCATTGAGCTGACCTCGAGACCCTCATTAGCTCGTATTATTGATCAAGAGAGCTGATCAGCCTGGTCCTCGTAGTTGAACTAGCTAACACGAGCCAACCGAGTTGATTAACCCAATTTAACCGAGCTGAGATTATATCAGGTATTGTGATCGATATAAGGTTTGCATATTTGTTATGCTTATTTACTACTTTGATTGGCCAAAACAACATTGATTTTGTTGTCCGCCGAAATCGCAATTCAACCGACGTTCGTCACATTGTAAATATCCATTTACAAAAAAATTGAAGTATTCACAAAGGGCGCGAAAGCTGGTTGTTTCTTGCTTTCTTGATTTCGTAAGCTCAAATTTCATCACCTAAAAATAAGATTGAATAAAGAATGTTTTTATAGTGAAATGTGTATAAGTGGAAAATGCATGTTAAAATCCTTAATCATGAAATTCATAGAGCCCATATAACCATTCAACTCTAACAATGACTGGATAGCCCAAATTACAAATAATTGGGTTTATGGACCAAGGATTCGGATGTTAAAAACTAGATGTGACCCGTGATGGGCCCATTAGCTGCTGATTAATAGAGAGCCAAGTTATAGGACCCATTAGTAATGGGCTTATGGGGACATGCAAGTAATACAAGGAGGTGGGTCTGGGTTGACTATTTTTGTTTTAAAAAATGTTATATTTTTTATATTATCTTTTATTTAAAGTACGATATATTTAATTCGAAAAAATATATATATTCAAAGGTTTAAAAAATATGATAACTAATCGTTTTTTATTAGAATTAGCACATTAGGTTAAGAATGAAAGAATTTATTTTCCTCTGAACACATTTCTTATATGTACTTTAAGGTCACAAAAATTTAAATAAAATTCCAAAACATCAACTTTCCTCCAATTTAACTAGAAATCTCAATAAAAACAATGTTCGGTCAGACTATATAGATAAGTTTTTATGTATATTCAAGCGAATAGTCGATCACTTTTGCAAAATATAGAGTCAAACTCGACTCGAACTCGAATTTTTCGTTGTTCGATTCGTTTGCAGTCATATTCATAATTTTATTTATTTATTTATTTTGGGGATTCCCATTCAATTTTCCCCTAATATATGAGTGTCTGGCCCAGATTGGACTTAACAAGTCCGTACAATCAGTAGGGTTGCGTGCGATGCTTATTTGACAAAAAGAAAAAAGTTGGTATATCATTTTGTTTAATCTAAATAAAATTAATGAAGCTCTAAATTAAAAGAACTTTAAAATAAAAACTAAAAAAAAAAAAAACTCAAGAAAAAAGAAAATGAAAGGACAAAAAGAGCATGTGTGATTTGAAAAAAAATGTGACACACAAACATTTTTACGCATGGATGTATAAAGTACCAACCTCTCCACTAAGGCACCAAAAAAAAAAAAAAAAAGGAATTAAATAAAATAATTTCATTAATTGGACACATCATTATATAACAAATTTATGGGGTACCCTTTTTGTCATTTTTACAAGTCAAGGCACTATACTATATACTACCCTACATTGAGTAACTTAGCATAAACACTAGGTGGTATTTATCCCATCATATATTAATGTACCTTTTATATGTTTTAGTATTAATTTTTTTTTTTTTAATAAAAGTATGTATATTTATTAGATCGGTGTAATTCTCTCAACTAAATTCAGCGAGTAAGTTGTTTTATTCAGCTGTGTGGCTAAATATACGGTTGAGTAGCTGCTATCTTGTCTTGTTTATTTTGTAAATATATGTGATTCCTATTAAAAAATAAACTAGTTTATAAGCTCTCTGTATTTAAATAAGCTTCGTTTGATAGGACAAGCTTATTTAAAAAGCTCGAGCGGTAAGCTTATTTGGGTAGCTTTTCAAATAAGCTCGTTGAAATTTTTATTTCAGCTAACTTTACCAAACACTTTTATCATATAAGCTAGTTTTTCAGCTATAAGTCAATCTCGAAAATTATTGATAAGCTATAAACTAGCTTATCAACTAGTTTACCAAACATAATCTAGGTGGTATTTATCCATCATATATTGTATTTTATGTTTTAGTATGATTTTTTTTTTTTCATAAAAG